GAACTCTTGGACTCAAGCTATCCACCTGCCTTACACTTACCAAAGTGCTGAAATTACAAGCATGAGCCACTGCGCCCTCCGGGGAAAAGCTTTGGAGGAGCATTCCCTGGCGGGCATCCCATCCTCCATCTCGGCCCTTCAGCCCGCCCGGCCACCTGAACCGTGGGCTAGGCCGGGTCACCTCTAAACCGCCCCCGACTACTCGCCGACCCCTCGCCCACAGTTCCGTCCAGAGGCCGGGTTCTAACTTCACCTTTTTCTCTAGAACTGTTTCTGCATCCCCCTCCCTGAGCCAAACACAGGCCCCGTCCGCACCCATCAGGAAGAAAAGCAGTATGTCTGTGTTCTAGCGGGTCCTACGCGGCTGAAGTTCCAGCCCAGGAGCCCCGCCCGGCACGAAGCTCGGAGCGGAAGTGACGTCAGCGCGCCGCCGCCATCTTTTTCGGCGCTGGCTCCGCATGGTCTGTGCGGTTTCGCCTTAATAGTGGTGGGGTACGTCTCTGCCGTGGTGAGTTCCACCTGTTTGGGGTCCGGGAAATAGCAGAGGGGCGGCAAAGGAAGGATCGGGCGCGATTGCCCAGGAGCCTCTCGGGTCCGGCTCGTTTCACTAGTTTCTCCAGGGGCTGTCGGTCCTCCCAGCGCAGCCAGTTCCGAGAGGCCGCACGCTCGGTTGGTCCCGGTCAGGAGCCGGGTCGGGAAGTGTGTTTGTCCTGCCTCCGCGGGGTGTTTTCTGGAATGCTTCCATCCGCTGTGCTCCCGTCTTCAAAAGCCTAGAAAGCAACCTTGGTGATTTTTTTTCCTTCCGAAAGGAAAAGGATTTTTGCTGTTCTAGTGAGGTTAGCTCCGCCCCGCGTCCTCCCGCCTCAGGAACCTGGCGATTCCGGCGTATTCCTGGTGAGCACTGGCAGAAAACTGGTTTCAAGAGGGCTCAGACTTCTATTTCTTTGCCAGGAAATGTCTCATCTGAGAATCTGGCGTTGTCTTGATGTCGTTTACAAAATTTTTGACACATTACATTCGAATTGAAAAAACATAGTTTTTCAGGTTGTACCTATTTCTGTATGTAAATATGAACACGTGTAGACTGTAAACCTTTATTTTTTAATTTTTATTTCCTTGAACCTTATTTTTTTTTCCAGTTTTTACCAGCTACAAGCCTTTCTACTAAAAGGCAGGCTGGGCAGGGTGGCTCACGCCTGTAATCTCAGTACTTTGGGAGGCCGAGGCAGGTGGTTCACCTTAGGTCAGGAGTTAGAGACCAACCTGACCAACGTGGTGAAACACTATCTCTACTAAGATACAAAAATTTGCTGGTCGTGGTGGCACACGTCTGTAATCCCAGCTACTTGGGAGGCTGAGGCAGGAGAATTGCTTGAGACCGGGAGGAGGAGGATGCAGTAAGCCGTGATTGCGCCACTGCGCTCAAGCCTGGTGACAGAGCGAGACTGTCAAAAACAGAAAAAGAAAAGCAGGCCGTGGTGGTGGGCCCCTGTAATCCCAGCTGTTGGAGATAAAAAAAAAAAAAA